GCAACTGTCATCTGAAATTAAACCAATGAGAGTGTCTGGATGTGTGTATTTGGACTCTTTTTATGCATGCTGGACAAAGTTGACATGATGATGAATAATGGCAATCCATGAAGTGTTCCTTCGAGGTGTGTGTGTATCTCTAAAAGAAAGCACTGTGTTTGAACTTGATTTATAATTGCAAGCACATGGAAATACACTGCCTGGCCCAAAAAAAAAAACGTCACTGTTTGGATTTAAACAGGCAAATGCTTAAGAGTCTATTATTTGATCATCATTGCAGTGATTATTATGTTTCTAGCATGTTATATGTTTGGCAACAGTTCTACTAACCCTAATTGATGGAGTGTGTAGGAAGACGTATCATGGCCATATTCCACGATGAAAATGTCAAGATTCATCAGGCTCAAATTATGAAAGAATGGTTGGGAGGAGCATGAAGAATAATTTTCACACATGAATTGGCACATCTGAGTCCAGACCTTAAATTCATTGAGAGTCTTTGGGGTGTGCTGGAGGAGACTTTACAGAGTGCTGGACTCTTGCATTGGCAATACAAGATCTTGACCAAAAATGTATGCACCTCTTGATGGAAATAAATGCTGTGATGTTATTTCCATCAAGAGGTGCATCAATATATGGTCAAGATCTTTGCATTTGCCTATTTAAATCCAAACAGCAACCTTTTTTTTTTTGGCTGGGCAGTGTATATTCACACAAAACAACAGTAACATTACTATAAACTGCCCAACAAAACAAACAATCCATATACAGCGCACTCAACAGGAATCAGACTGATACAGGATAGGTTTGACACACACGCACCAGTGTCTCAGCAGACGTGTCCTGTCACAGGTTTGATCTGATGAGACGTCACGTCACGTGTGTGCTGACTGGGTCAAACACAAGCTCATAGTAGCAGATGGCAGATGACACAGGGATTCTTATTCAGTGTTTTGCTGAATCAGACCCTGCCTGGAGACTGCGGGTGTCATTCACAGAAGATTTTTGATTTGACCAGATTCATGCAAAAAAATTAAATGTAGCCTGCATTATACATTATTCTTTATATAATGAGTCTCACATAAGAGACATTCAAGAATTTTTGCATTTGAGAGTGTGAGAGATAGATATGATGTGTCTTGGATTTAAATGGGTACGGTTAGTAACTAGTTAGTTTACTTTTATATATTAATTAATATGTATATACTCACATATGCACCTCTATGTATATCCCCCCCCCCCCCCCCGCCCCCCCCCCCCCCCCCCAAATATTATAATAATTTAAAATAACTGTTTTCATTTTAACGTCATTTATTCATGTGATCTCAAAGCTGAATTTTCAGCATCATTGCTTCAGTCACATGATCCTTCAGAAATCATTCTAATATGCTGATTTGCTGCTCAAGAAACATTTCTTATTATTATAAATGTTGAAAACAGGAAACTGTAATCAATTTTTTTAAAGTAAAAAGCTCCAACAAAGTTAAAAAATAACATGGAACAGAAATATTTTTGTAACATTATAAATGTATTTACTATCACTTTAGAATAGTTTAATATGTAAATCATTTAATTAATAATACATATTCAAGACACATTCTTTGACAACAAGAGCTAATGTTTCATGGAAATTTTGCTTTGGTAAATTAAATTTATTTTGTTTTAAGGAGGTTTAGATGAGGGTACTGGAAAACTAGACAATTATGGGATTTACCATACATTTATCAGAGATCTGATATAATATGCATGATTTATCTGCAGTGATTCAAAGTTTGATTCAAAGGTGAGCTTGTGATTGTTTGTTATCTGTTCAGAGTTGCAGCTGTCTGTTCCCACCCCCAGCATCAACCATATCTGACTGATTTTAATGTTTCCTTTCTGCCACATGGTCCGTTGTCACGACGACACAGCGTGATTGAAAAGCAGAAAACCCATTTGCTCCAACGGCTTTAATCAAACACACTCATTCATTATTCAGAGTGTGTGAGAGGGTGCAGGGGGCAAGCCAGTTTGTGTTGTTGGGGGGGGGGGGGGGGGGTACGCAATAAGTACCCAATAAAACAATACAAGCAAAACAAGCCTTTTTGTTGTGAAACATGATACAAATATGTCACTCAGATGAGTTGAGATTGCTAACTAAAGTTGATGAACAATGATCACATAGCAAAGAAAAACTTTTAGGAAAGTAGGTCTCAGCTGGAGGCCGGAGAAAAGCCAAATGCACACAAACACACACACAAGCAAGTTAAGAAAATCCCAAACCTTTAGAAATTCACACGGAGAGGTGAGAGAATGAGAATGAAAGAATGAATTGGTTTCCTTGGTGGAAACTGAGAAAGTAATCTGGACGCAAGTCAGTGAGGATGGATCCAAGTGCCAGCTCTCCATGGGTGTAGAAGAGCAAACGGAACAACACAACACACACTTTTGTGTTTCTCTCAGCTATATCACAGCACTATTTCAGAGGGACAGAGGCAATCAAATCAATCCAGTCAGAACCCATTAAAGCAGAACATATATTGTACTGAACAAGACCAGCCACATGCTGACAGAGAGAGAGAGAGAGAGAGAGAGAGAGAGGAGAGAGAGAGAGAGAGAGAGAGAGAGAGAGAGAGAGCATTGACTGATATAATAACCTGAATCAATGGCTCTAATCCAACACCTAGTGAGCAGCCTACGCAGGACAAGATTTTAAGGTATCAGAGGTGCGCTCCTGACGCGACGGCTGTTCAGAAGAGTAGGCAGCGCAATTATGCTGCCTTCTTAGAAAACTTCTGGCCCAAATTCTGAACCGGCATTGCATGTAGACTTTGTGGAGATTGCAATCCCATAATGTACTGCGACCACTTGTGAAAAGATGGAGGACGAAGTTTAAATTATTATTACATATTCAATCAATCTAAAAATTGTTTACCCCTTATTTTTGTGTGTTCTGTGTATTTTTAATTTAGTGTTAACTTTGCAATATGTGACACAAAGAGTTGTTGCCCATGTAGAGTGCTCGAAAAGACTTTGTCTCCAAAACACACCTCAATGTCTATTTATGCATTTGCAAAATCATCAGTGTTAGATTTGGGTGATTGAGGAGGTAGAAACATGGTTCGAATAATCTGTCGGGTCTTCACTTAAGCTGGACATAATATAAATGGGAAAGAATGCCCTAAAGGCCTAAACGTCCTTTAATATTTAAAAGCAGCAGTATTGCATCACACTCAAATACAGTGACTCTTTACAGAGGTAGAACCTGTGTTATTTTAGTATCATTGATATATATTTTTAAAGTCAACATGAAATCACAGCTACTAGAAGACATACAGGTTGCTCACGTGACAGGCTCAGTTTGACCTTGCGCAGTACACCTGGCTATCAGCTTTTAACAGGCTTCAATTTTCTCAGTTGAAATCAATGGGGTCGCTGTGTCCATTTCTTTTAGTGTCTATGGTAGAACTACATTCGAATTCCAACAGCACAACACAAACACACTCCATTGACAAAGGGCTTGACAGAAACACATAGGGAGTCCCATCTTAAAGCCAGATTTTCTCTTCACCAAGATGTTTTAGGAGAAAAACACAGACACTGAGGGAGAACACTGAAATATTCATGATGCATTATTATAATGAGATCAAATCTGCTGACTGTTGACTGTCTGGCACCAGTTTAAAGTACAACGGCCGTTGTGGTTGTAACAGTAAGAGTTAATGGATTGAATATGATGAATATGAAAGAAATTAGGTTATGACTGTGATTTTGGTGCAGACTCATAGGAGTTATTTACACAATGAGCATCTGTACAAGACAATAAGAAACTTAAAAATAAAGCAATTGAAGGTCAGTTTTGTAAATGAGCACTCCACAGTAAAATCAGCCTTAATAAATCACCTTCTAAAGATTAAATACTGATTACAGCAACAGGGTGAATCTCACAAAACTCATTAAGAACACGCCAGGTCATATTTCAGCCCAAAATCGGCAAAAAGAAATAAGAAATAGTTTTAGGACGATAAATATTTTTGCACTGTGACATTTTTATAACTTAGATTTCATAATTCAAAATGTATTATTTATGATTTATAAAGAATTCCCACATAATTCGTATTACCATAACAAAAAAAGAAAAATAATAATAAAAAATGTGGTTAGTATAATGCAAAAAAGGATTGACTATTCAAATTATAGTATTTATTCATCATGGCAATATGTGCTGTACTACTGCCTTTAATTTATGTTGATTTAAATGCAAAAATCATTGATATTACAGCAATGGGTAATCTACTGTGAATCACAAATGAGAATATTGGAAATTGCTAAATGAAAACTCATTATGGTAATGAGGATTTGGGCTCAATGGTACACTATAAATAACGTAAACATGCAAAAACAACAACAACAACAAAAATTATGGTCTTAAAACAGGCTTAATTTTATTTATATAAAATATTTTCTTGTTTATTTTCAGGGTGGAATGTGACCTGGGCGTATTTTTACAAGACAGCATGTAGTTCAGTGCATTAGGGCATTACGGCTTCAAATCCAAAACAATCTCAAAATGCCAAAACAGCCTCTACAGGACCGTAAATTAGAACAAGAACCTGTGCAAATAGTGATGTTTATCAGTATTAAGACAACGTGTATTATAGGGATCCTGGCAAAGAGAGAGAGAGAGAGAGAGAGAGAGAGAGAGAGAGAGAGAGAGAGAGATAGAAGAGAGAGAGAGAGAGAGAGAGAGAGAGAGAGAGAGAGAGAGAGAGAGAGAGAGAGAGAGAGAGAGAGAGAGAGAGAGAGAGGCGGATGCCATGATCGATAGAGTGGTCAGGTCTTTCACATTCCTTCAGCATAAATCAACAGCCATTATGATCATGCAGTCCATCAGAAGCAACATAAAACCCTTTGCAAATAGATCTGATGGGTATTTGTCATACCTCACACACTTCAGTAACACACACACTGCATTTTTGCAGTGCATTTCCGAACTCAACAGCCTGGAAGCAGATACTCACTGGTTTAGTTCCACGTCTAAAACAAAGGTCTGTCCGAAGGCCTCAACCTGGAAGCTAGCCTGAGCCACGTGGTTCTGTAAAAGAGACAAAACAAGATGAGATATGGTCATTTTCATATATCAGGGTGCAACATACAGTATATGCTGTATTAATAAAAACCACAAAATTAGGAACATATTTGGTGTTTTGGGAGAGAAAAGAAAAATTAGATGCACTAATTAGATGCAGTCTTCAGTGTCACATGATTCTTCAGCAATCATTCTTATATGATGATTTGCTCCTCAAGAAACATTTCTTTCAGTATTCTTTGACAAATGTTGAATAAATGATGTTCTTTTGAACATTCTATTTAAAGAATTAGAAATCTTTTGTAACATTATAAATGTCTTTACTATCACTTTTTGATCAATTTAATGCACCCTTGCTGAATAAATGTATAATTTTTATTTAAAAAAGTCTCAAGGTGCCACACAAGAGCTGATGCAATAAAAAGGGTCAAATTAGAACATATTCAGTGTTTAGGGAGAGAAAAGTAAAATTAGATGCGCTAATTGTTTTTTTTTTATTCATCATCCACACTTTGATGTGCAGGACTGGTGGCTGTGTGGGTGTGTGTGTGTGTGTTCGCTGATGGTTAATTCACTGCCTGCTTGGGGCCCATATGGCCAGGGCCGTATAACACCCCCTCAGGGGAAAGAGAAGCATTTTGGTTGTGGCGCATTGTTCTCGCATCTCATGAGTGGGTGTGTGAGAGAGAGAGAGAGAGAGAGAGAGAGAGAGAGAGAGAGAGAGAGAGAGAGAGAGAGAGAGAGAGAGAGAGAGAGAGAGAGAGAGAGAGAGGGCAGAAGGGGCAGAAATAGAAGCATATGAGAGAGGTGAGGGGAGTCTAACACCCCCAAGGGAACACACCTCTCCCTAAACCAGCAAAGCATAGTTATCAATATAAATGGAAGGAGAACGAAGGATTGGAAGAAATACGGAGGGGGGAGATCCTCAACACTTCACCCATCAGTGACCTTCTGAATGAAGCGACCCTCCCCGAGACACACCCACATACTGCCCCTTGATTGAGTGTGGATTTGTGTGTTTCACGTCTAAACAAAATGCACAATAACACTCTCATCCCTTGTTTCTTTAAAACCAAATCTAATAAAGAGATTCAGAGTGTTTTCTAGAAACTGTGTAAGATGAGAGGGCTGCAGCTTTCTGTCCATTATGTCAGTGGCATCATCGATCGCCGTTTCATCATATTATCGCTCTAAAACAGCTTGACTCGATTTTTTTTCTGATCTGCATTGTGTGTTAAATAAAGAAGATCTAAAATTAGCAAGCTAAAAGATTCTCTGTTTTGTTTTCAGACATCAGCAAATATCTATAAATAAAACTGTCAATCTTCAAAAAGATCCGATTGTTAGTCAAGCGTGGAGCTAAAAACAGACCTGAGCATAGTTAAAGGTGTGATATGAAAAAATATATTTCATTGGCACATGCTTCGAATCTAATCTCTAATGTGGCATCATATAACACCACAATGATTAAATCAATGCATTGGCATGATGAAAGAGCTTTTACTTGAATTATACAGAGCTCAGCTGCACATGTCAGACAAAGGGTTAAGCCCACACGTGCACGCACAACCCGAAGCACATGTACAGATATTCTAACCAGTCAAAGAGACTCGTTACAGTAACGTGGCCACGAGCGAATGCATGTCTGTGCCTCTGAGAATTATTCAGTCACGCAAAGTATAAACAACAAAGTAGCTACCTGAGCAGTCGGGATGGACAAAAATGCTAAGATATTTTACAGAGGTTTCACTCCCAAACACATACAGTATACTAGGCCTTATATTATGTAAACACAAACTTTTATATTAGATGCGATTGATCGCGATTAATTAATTTGACAGCACTAATATCCATTTCTAAATGTGTAGCGTTACTTTAAAACATTAAATAGCTAATTAATATGACTTGATGTGATATCAGTTCACTCTCAGAGTCTTATTCACTATCTTTCAGGCCACCCAAAGCAAGAACAAAAGAAATAGCAAGTCCATAAACCTCTTATAGCATTACACGCTCAACTGATAAACCAAATACAAAGTACATTTGGGAGTTTATTGTTTTCCTTTTATCATCATGGCCCAGGTTTTGAGTCCCTGATGAAGTGTTTTGCTGAATAATAAGTGGAGTTATATCAGTAATCAGTTTCTGACATTTCTGTGCTATATAATAATGTAAAAAAGAATAATGCACTATTTATTTAGACTGATAATAATGCTCCAACACAGGAGCTGATCATTTGTTCTTTCTGTGTCCTTTGTGTTTCCAAAGCTGTGATGCCACAAGATGCCTCAGGAGGCCTAAGCATCAGCATCTTCCGGAGAAATGTGTTGTTTAGGTTCATTAGATCACCCTTTAAATGACTGGAATTAACTGTGCAGGGCTCTCAGACCACCCAGAGTCAGACTACAAGACTCAGAAAGAGAGTAAAAGAGAAAAACATACACATCATTTGAAGAGCAGCGCGTCTCCAATGGCAACGGGAGGAGAGAGCATCCCTATATGACACACAGATGACATGCTAACATGAAATGAAACAATACACACCTGTTTACTGTCAGAGTTCATTCGGACTCGTGTGTTCAGAACATCATGAGGCGTCTGAGTGTCTTCGTCTATTCGGTACATCAACCGAACCGGTACCGTGCTCTCCTTCCCGAGGAACCTGGCGTCATCACGCCGAGCCCTTGTCTTTACCAAGGCGTCTCCTACAATAATAAAAACACAGTAGCCTATTTTTAACAATTACACATTTTCATTCTGAGTTACACGTATGAAACTTGAAATAATAGTCAAGATAAATAATGATAAATCACGCCTCAGGGTCATATAGGCTATTTACCGTTAAGTAACGTTCAATCTGTTTACATCACCTGAACGGATAATTAGGCTACTATGATTAAAATACGGCACTAATATGGAAAAAAAAACATAATAATGATTTTATTTCGTGATGAAAATACACATATATAAATAAACACGTAATAAAAATACACCCTCACCGTAATGGGGCAGTGAGATGCTGGTATGAACCACAGAGCTCATCAACGCTACAAAGAGACACAGAAAGAAATTCCCGACACGGAGAGGCATCATTCCCGCATCCATTCGGTTCAGAAAATCGCGGCTAATCATATCCCAAATTATTCGATATAAGAGTTAAATCCAAAGTTATACTCGGTTTTCTGTTTCCCTCAAGAAGGCACACACATCCTCTCGCGCGCTGGTTGCCATTAGTGACGCGCGCGCAGCTACTGCATCGAGACGCTGGTTGCGCGAGCAGCGGGCGGATGACTGGTCGAAGGCGGGTGCGTTCTGGAAAACTAAAATCAGGCCCTTTTTTTCTCCACCGAGCAGAAACTACCACCTCCTCAGCAAGACATCAATAATGTCCAGCCGCCTCACTGCAGAAACGACTCATAAATATGCATGAGCGATCTGCACGCGGGATGACGGGTAGTGTAGTGCGCGCTCCACCTGCTGTCACCTTCTGCGACAAACAGAAAATTATCCCGCATGGAGCACAAGAACAGCGAAACACAGAGGTTGATGTGGATATATGAAAAATTATTAATGGATATATACCATATTTTTAATGTACTACCACGACGTATAACATAACGCATACCAATCATAACCACCACAGACATTTGGTTAAATCCTTGATAATGTATATTGGTAGTATGCAATAAATGTATATCATTTACACCAGGAAATAATAATGCTTTATGGATTTATAATTTTATTTTCACATTAACCAGTAAAGATAGATATCTTTATTGTCATTCAGAACAAATCAAAAGGTTTTATAATTTGTTTAAAACCATATCCTGGGATTAAAAACGTTGTTTGAAATAAATATTATTTATATATTCTTTATGCCATTTACAGAATTTGTTAATTGGACTACATACAGTACCATTCAAGATTTGGGGTTGGTAAAATTATTAAATGTTTTTAAGTCTGTTATGTCCGAATTGCTGCATTTATTTGATCAAAAACACAGTAAAAAAGTAATATTGTAAAAGATTTTTACATTTTAAAATAACTGTTTGGTGTATAAGTGACCTTTGACCAATTTACCACATCCTTGATAAATAAATGCATTAATTTATTATATATACCCATATCTTACTGACCCCAGACATTTGAACAGTACTGTATACTGAATGTTAATACCGGAACAACTAATCTAGAGATCTGTTCTAAACAAAAGATACCCATGCCAAATAAGAAGCTTTCTAGAAAAAAAAAAAAAAAAAAACATTGTGCAAAGGACATGTGCTTATAACCATGATACACAGACACAAAAACAAAGAAAAAAAAAAACTATGTAAAAAATATTTTCAATTTAATACAGGAACCAGGAAATCATTTCAAGACTGTATCATAGGTGTTATATACTTCAATAACATACACAACATAAATGTACATACTCACTGTGTAGCTCCACTCATTTTTCACTATATAGTCAGTATGTATTTTTCCAGTCTATAATCAAAGTTCTTTTAAAGCCTGTATGGTGAGAATGCAGTTTTCCATTCTACTGAAAAACACAGATCTATTAATATATATTATATATATATATTATTTGGCATAGTAATAACTTTTATAACACATACATATGTGTTGTCCACTCAATTGTTCAATTGTTGTTGTTCAATTTTTACTACCCAGCATTAATCTCAAAAACCCTTAAAGTCTTCATCCATGTTGTCACTGGACTGAAAGAGATCCCACAGGTCCGGGATAGACACTGTCTCACTCTCACACTCCTGTACAGGTTTAACAAGTGAAAAAGAGCCCAATGATTCTCTCTCTTTACTAGATTCGATGTGCAAGGCTGGTACTTGCTTTCTTCTCCTGGGTCTGACGTTCCGAACCTTCCGTTGAAGGGAATTATAGGGGGTGTCACAGTCCGGTTCAGGTTCTGTGCTGGCTAAAGGCCAAAGAGCTTCATTTTCAACTTGATTTTCAGGCATACTTTGCGTACACATTTCACTGCAGTTAGTCCTAAAGTATTCATTTCCAGTTATTGTTTCTTGGTTTCTTTCATTGAACTCTTGAGCTGGGTGTGTGTCAGGGTTTTTCCTGGTTTGTTGGTCTGTCCTGCATTCAAGTGCATTAGAGTCACAGTTCTGCTCTCTGCTGAGAAAAGATGCACCTTCAGATTTCCGCACAGCAGATCGCAAGTGGTAGTCCCACTCAAAGGATCCACGCTTGGACTGGGACTTCTCCGGAATGTCGGATTGGTCAAACAAGCTGTCCCTGTTGCTACAAGGGAATTCACACTGGCCCCTGCTGCGTTTGCGAACCAGCAGAGGTTTTCCTATGGTCTGTTCTGAGAGACAGTGCTTTGCTGTCGAGTCCCAAAGCAAAGACCCCTCACTTTCCTGTTTCCAATCACCATTCACAGATCCCACATCTTCCTTTACTGGCAACATGGCTTCAGCAAACAGAAGAGGGGTTGATGTACTGCATTTCACCCTATGGCAGAGAGACATTGACATGGCGCTGTCATAAGGCCAGTAAATAACAATAAGCAAATAAAATAGGGCTGGGTATTGACAGATTTCACAAATCGATTCAATTCCATTGCTCAAGCTTTTGATTCAATATATATATTCATTTGGAGATGAAACAGCAGCCACCTTTTACTGTATTTTCTTTTTTACCTTTTGCATAGGGGTGCACGATTCAGAAAATGTCACGATTCGATGCCGATTTTTTGTCTCAAGATTCGATTCAAAATCGATTTTCGATTCAAAAACGATTCACAGTATATAAATGTAGTTTACTTTTTCCTATGTGATTGATTGCAGTAGACACAATTTAAAAGAAAAAAAACACAACAAATTAAATGTAGTTTGATATTACTTTGTCTTCATACAAAAATAAAAACTTTTGCAACTAAAAAGTGCAAAGTGCCAAGCTTTGGCCAGCTTTCAAATACATTTAATTCAAGTTTAAAATAAATCTTAAATAAAAAGCTTTTACATTTAGCTTTAAAGTGCTGTAGTCAGATCAAACAAACAATATGCTAAATGTGGTTTAAGGACTACTTCAGCCACCAGGCTGACTGTTGAAATGTGAACTCGACTGGGCACATTGAACTTCCTAAAAATATACTAATGTCATAGAACCCTTGCGAAATAATTTTAAATAGATTTTAAAAAGCCACCGCTACTGGTAACATCTATGGTTAGATTGATTTGTTTAGATCCAGTGAAGTCGTTCATAGGCGTAATTTGCGGGTATCTCCAGTTAACTAGCAGAGCATTCATTTAGTTCGCTATTAAGTAAGAGATCTGTTGTTTTTGAAATCAAGCTGCGCGCTCGTTGCCGCTGCTATCAGTGTCATGGATACAGTGTTCTCTGTGGCTCGCGCAGTCTTCACTCGGACGCGCTCTTCAATCTATCGCCGTTGTGGAGACTCCGGTAAAATCTCAAAAATAAAAATGCACACAAACGTGATGAACATATTCGGTTTTGATGAGAGAGAGAAAAAACTATACGAGTGCGGTTTAGAACCCGTAACCTCTGACACGCTTGGCAAAAGATCTACAGACCATTAAGAACTCAAACATAATCTGCGGATCGATGCATTTATTCACGGGTTGAGCAGAGAGGCTGCACAGTTTGACCAGCGGGCGGCAAGAACTTGCAATGTATCTATTTATCAGACCGGCCCTCGCAGCCTCGAAACACTACCGAACCACCGGTAAAAGTCCCGACTCACCCGATTGCCACTCCGCCCGTGCACGCCATAAAAAAAAAATATGAATCGATTTTTGGAATTCTATGAATCGATTCTGAATCGGTAAAGATTGAATCGCGATTCAAATGTGAATAGATTTTTTTGCACACCCCTACTTTTGCACATAAATCAGTTTATGCTTCTACTCCAATTTGTTGTTGAAATATTTAAATGGTGGCTGTCATTAAAAACATAGATTTATTCATACATAAAATAATTAAGACATCACCAACTCTAGCTAACTAAGGAGTTATGGAAATGAATGGCTCTCCTTAAAGTTACTGTAACGTCACCATATTGTTTTATTGTCATCTTTACATGGTTGAAACACTGATTTCAGTTAATTTCTTTCAGTTCATGCTATGCCTATTAGTAAAAAGGAAAAGATGACTGGTTCACATCATCTCAGTTATTTGAAAGCTCAAAGCGGAGACTTTTTTGCATATCAAAAGTAAATAATGCAAAGCACAATGCTTATTGCAATAATTGATGGGAGGAGAGCTACAAATAATGGCAAAGTTTTGTTGATGCATCAATAAAAAACAACATAGGCTAAAAGACTGATTTTGGAATTTAAGAATCAATATCGTTTAATCAAAATGAAGATGAATTAAAATCAAAAAATCAATAGCTGCGTTTCCATTACCCTTTTAAATTGCACAAATGGAAATTGCAAATTGAAAATAGGCAGAATGGAAAAAAGTTAATTTCCCAAAGACTCCCATATACATGGCAAAATATTTTTACCTTTCGCACGAGGTGGTTTTTCAGGCAATTCGAAAAAGGAATACCTCTAAAATGGCAATGTAAACAGCATTTACAGGTCACCTGGCGTATGTAAAAGTAGACCATTCCTTAAAGGAGAACTCCGGTCAATTTTAACATTGAGCTCATTTTTTTGTACATTTGGAGTCCTGTCAGTACAGACAAAAACGACAAAAATCGGTGTTGCCTACACCGTGTTATCCTCTTTTTAAAATTCGCACCCTGTTGACTTCAATGGGGCAAGTTGTAAACCTGCTTTTAGCCTCTTAACAACCTTAATGTGACATTGCAAGTGCACAGCCATGTGAGTGGTGTTAAGAGTGACCACGGTCAATCTGACTGCAGTAGATGTGCAAGATATTAATAAAAATGATGTTAATTCAGCCAGCTCACATACCTGTATTTACTTCCTGTTTTCGTTCGAAGTCCACAGTAGTCGATTGTCGAGTTTGCGCGCGCGATCATTAGTTATATTAGTTACCAATGATCGCGCGCGCAAACTCGACAATCGACTACTGTGGACTTCGAACGAAAACAGGAAGTAAATACAGGTATGTGAGCTGGCTGAATTAACATCATTTTTATTAATATCTTGCACATCTACTGCAGTCAGATTGACCGTGGTCACTCTTAACACCACTCACATGGCTGTGCACTTGTAATGACACATTAAGGTTGTTAAGAGGCTAAAAGCAGGTTTAGAACTTGCCCCATTGAAGTCAACAGGGTGCGAATTTTAAAAAGAGGATAACACGGTGTAGGCAACACCGATTTTTGTCGTTTTTGTCTGTACTGACAGGACTCCAAATGTACAAAAAAATGAGCTCAATGTTAAAATTGACCGGAGTTCTCCTTTAAAGATGGTGCGGTATGTTTGGACAGAAGACGAGACAAACTGATTTAAAAAAAGTATCACAGTAATACTGGGATAATCGTCTCGTCTATACTTAAAACCTACTAACGTACGTTGCCATGTTTTTCGGAATGACTTATCGCGAGAAGAAAAAAAATGTTCTAGTCGCATGACATCGATTAATGAAACACTGTCATTCCGCAATAGCTTTTTATCGACATTTAGAAAATACTGCTAAAGTTTTGCGCAAACCTGTAATGGAAACCAGGCTAATGTTGTCAACCTAGCCGTAAAGAAATATATAATTGTAATGACATTTTTGTACCTTCTACAGTGCGTGCTGATGTTCATGAGGTCGCAGGTCAGTCCCGCTGTGACTCGATCCAAGACTCTATATTCCTCACTCTTTGAGAAAGCCTGATGCTGCTCACTCTCCAAGTGCTGGTGGTCAGACGTTCAGACAGGTCAGACACCGTTTTTGCTATTGCATGAGCTTAAAAATTGTGAGTGACTTTCAATTTTTTCAGCACATACCGCTTTTAGGTTGTCAAATTTGACCTCACAGCACTCACAGTAACCTCCTTTCCTCTTTTCTCTGCCTTCATGTCCTCTGCGCCTCTCTTTCTTCCCTCGAGTCCCTCGTTCCCCTCCAGACCTAAAGCAAAACACAGATTCTCATTTACACACACACAAAAACTTGACAATAACATTATAGGATGTGAGTGATGCTCATTCTACCTTTGCTCATTCTGTTTCTTCTTTGTATCATCTTTTCCATGTTCCTCCATCAGGAACGGACTGCAGGGAGGAAGAGAGCGGAGGTTGCACACAGGCATGTTGGACAGTGGAAGGTAGATGGGACGATAATGCCTGCAAAAAAAATTATAGATTGTTTTGAAACTGGACCAATAACATGGAAGGTAAAACAAGAAAACAAACTAAGAAAACACACCTGCTTGAGTCTTCCACTTTTATAAACGGTCGACGAATTCTTCCAGCTGGAAATAAAAAACAAAACGATTACCGGTAATTCAAATTAATGAAAGCATTGCTATAATGTGTTCAATTAACATTTTTCTACTGGAAGATGCAGCAAATTAAAACAGATTGGTTCTTTTGTACTTACCATTGTGTCTTTGATATGCATTTTTCTCTGTGTGCTGAATGCGAGCCTAAAAATGAAGAGTGATAAACTGAATATACACAGAAATAACATATATATATATATATATATATGCAGCCCTGGACAGAAGCAGAATTGTCTAGTAAATCAATAAGTTCAAATGTTTTAGCTTAGTTCTTAAAACAGGGCAGTAAATTACCAAAAACTTTGAACAATACGGTTGAAAATGGATGAATTTTAATTAACTTGTTCATTTGGTTCTTTATGTAAAAAGAAGAATAGAAAAATAATAGAAAAACAAAAATACTCACAGCTCCGTTAACCACTGGATTAGCTGCATTCACTGCAATTACTTTAGCTTTCTTCTTGTCAACGTATGAAATAACATCTGTTTGGACGTCAAGCATTAAACACCATGAAATACTGAAACCACATCTCACTTGTCTGACAACACAAGCATTAATAATGATAATGTTGATACCGTCAACATGCAGGACTTTGACCCCCCATTCCACAGCATTGGACAGGATCCCATTCATCTGAACACGTTCCTTTAACAGAACAGATAACCCCTAAATCACTCATTCAGAGCGCTGATAAACTACTCAGGACTGCTGCACAGAGTTCATTCACAAACAAACAAGGCTTGATAAAGATTGACTCACTTGTTCCTTAACGACTCTTTCAACAAGAGATTTGCCTCGACTTACAGCTGCCTGCGAAATTCCAGCACAACAAAACATGTCAAGTGTTTTCCCCCAGAAAACACACACTAACATTCAAACGTTTGAGGTCGGTAAGATTTGGGTTCTTTTCTAAAAACAATTTAATAGTTTTATTCATCAAGGATACATTCGCATTCAGCAAATATGCATGGTTTCCATTAACTCTGATATTTAAATGGGTCATATAATGCCATTTTTGTACAAGCTAGTGTGATTCTTTAGGGTCTAAATTAAAAGTTTGTAATATACTTTAATTACAAATTCTCATTAGTATTGTAAGAAAACACTTATTTTACCTGGTCAAAAACAGCTCTGTTTTCAGCACGCCGTTTCAGTGCATATGACTTTAAATGATAATGAGCTTTGCTCACCCCGCCTCTCTGTTCTGTGCGTACACCGTTTGTAACACATTAACACAATAACCATAACGCGTTGTTCAGTATAAACGTGGGATTATGAATTATATTGAAAACATCATACATAGAAAACATGCCGTAATGTACCCTGAGTGTAAACCTTAGACGCATTCATTGTGAAGCGTGCAGCTAGCGATTTGCAAAGATTAATATAAATATTAATATAAAGTTTAATAAAACATTACACTTACTTCAGTTGTTCTAGAGGTTCAGCAGGAACACGAATATCTGGTAACGATCCTTTTTTCATGAGCAGCTTCTTAGCAAAACCAGCTTTATACTGACCCTCGTTTATAAAGCAGTCTGGTGAGAAATGATTTGCGCAAACATGAGAGCATTGACGTTGCTCGTGGGGAATATTCCCTTCGAAAACAAACTCCGCCACTGCGTCTTCAGCGGTTCGGATTTAGGAACATTAAAATGACTGCTGTGTTTGTTATTACACCCAAGAACAGAACACCACAATCGCTTAGACGCCATTCTGCTCATAGACAGTGCTCCAGCGTATCAACAATGACCGCGCCGGTCAGCGCAGACTATGATTGACGGCTCGCTCACGAGCGAGGGCGGGTCTGTGTTGAAACGCGGCTGTCAATCAACAATCGCGGGAGGTGCTTCCGAGCGTGTGACGTCACACGGTCAAACGGCTTGATTTGAGGCAGGGGAAAACATATAAGTAGATTAAAAAAAAACACTGGATGGATTTTTATCATTTTATGATGGTTGTGTACAGGCACTGCCAACACACATTTCAGTACAATCAACTTGTAAAAGTACATGTACCATTATATGACCCCTTTAAAGCATGCATTGCAGAATATCACAAATCAATTTAAAGTATATTATTAACATAATACATGTTCAAATAAACATTTCTTGTTTGAAACTTTGAATTGCTTCTTACAGTCGTATCTGTGACTCCCTGAGAGCTGCCCCTGTGCCCGTGGCTTTCCCTCCTGCTGCCGGGATGAGGAGAGCTGACTCCCGAATCCGGACTGGGCGCTGGGGAGTCCGGTAGGAGACGCTGGGCATAACGAGCCTCCGGCTTACTGGACACAAGATACTTTATCTCCTTACTGAAGAATTTTTCCACTGTCTGATGAGCAGAACATATTAAAAAAAAGTTACTTAATCTGTGATGAAATGTGCATGGTCAACATCATAATGAGTTAAATTCCAGACTACCGGTATAAAACGTTATACAGAAACAGAGGTAAAACATATAATACACTGTTTAAATAAAGCAGATGCAATTGCAGTCTTTAAAATCAAGAGAAGTGAACAAATACATTGTGTACACTTCCAAAAGCTTATTAAAATTGTTTTAAAATAGTCTTATTAACATAGTTTCAAACTCAGCTGTCTACTTTTACTAATTTAAGACATTCTCTTTCTGTATGTGAAAATACTGTGCACAATAGCCTCAAATATTAAATGTTAAGATAAGAAACAGCACTTACACCACCAAGTGTCTTGATGTCATTTTCCAAGAGTTGTGTTTTCATATTCCATGGCAGATCCAAATAAAATATTCTCCCTTTAAATGGTTTGTTGTGAAGAGCATCGCTTGCTGGTTTAATTTTGCTTTTAGATGATGCGCCATTATATCCCTCTAGTTTTGAATCTGTGAAGATCAATATAGCACAATTAGACCGTTAAACAAAATATAACTTAACGTTACATATATTCAGACATACATATTTAGTACATATACTGAACAACAAAGCACGCCAATTTTCTTAAAGCGTTATTATAAGAGGCTACTTGTATGTGGAAAAAAGTCACAGCAATACAGGTCATTAGAAAGTTAATTTAAAAAGATTCACAACACCTCGGTCTTTACACCTGGAGAAAGATTCTTGCTTCATCATGGAGTTTTTAATTTTAACGGTTACAGCCCTAAACCAGGCTAAACCAGCTAGTTATACCGCACACATATAGCAGCATTACTCAAAAAGTGTTGCTCGATTAAAACACTAAGCTAAAAACACAAGACTGCGTTAAACGGCTCCAATGTTTGTAAATGTCTTCATAACAAACACTCGACGCAGCCCCTTTCCATTTTCCCGCTCGAGAGGTCTCTTACAAAACCTGATGCAATCTTGGAATTCATGAAAGGAATTTCGACGTACATTTTTTGACGTTTCAAAAAACGACGCCACAAAAAGTTTATATTCTAATGTCAATTACACTAATATAAACAGCCTGAATTTTATGTAGAATATAAATTAGAAAACTAATGTTAAATATATAGAATATGACTTAGATAAACTGTTACGTACATGAGTGTTCTATTGTGTCTAATGGCGAAATTTAAATAGCCGGAAGTAACGAATCTGCTGCTCCGAAACACATCACCGAAATACACATGTCATGTAATGTTGTTGAGGAAACCCAATGGCGCACACTAGTGTAGTAGCGTGACACTCTCTATGAATCACGTGAATTCATTATTTTTTTTGGATTGCACTGATGACATTGTTTTTTTCTTTCGGGGTTACATAGTTGTTGTTTTTTTGTGCTATTTACATAATTTGGAAACTCAGCAGTTGGCAGTTGTAATGATAACGGATAAAGGTCAATGCAATAAGAGCTACTTATGTGTTCAGATGATCTATTAGGAGCAAGGTAAGTGTGAGCTTGTTAAACAAGGTTCATTATTGGCACATGGCTGTCAGTCACTACAGACTGAAGTCAACGGAGTTTGACTTTCTCTACATCGCAGGCTTTGAGATGAGCTCTCAGAAAAGTTCTCCAGGACCCAAGGGGGGCATTACACCCTTTCAGCAGATGATGGCGTCTTGCTCTGGGGCAGTTATTACGTCACTGTTGGGTAAGATAAATATATTAACTTGTGCAACGTGGGACAGAATAATATAGTTAGATGCTTTTTTGTAACTACTTATTTAGTCATTGACAATAAATTTTGTTTCAAAGACAATATATTTATAATTTAGCTTGTGTGTGTGTGTTTCTGTTAAAAGTACCATTGTAATACTGTACAGTAAATCTATTTGCATAAAAAAAGCATCTTCTAAATAACAGCTTGATATTTATTAAACTGACAGAGTGTGTCTGTCTCCCTAACATTGCTAGGAAGACTGTTCCACAGTTAATGTGCTAAATAGGAAAAGGATCTACAGTTTGCAGTTGATTTTAATATTCTAGGTATTATCAACTGGTCAGAATTTTGAGATCGCAATAGACCTGAAGAGCTATAATGTGTTAAGAGCTCGCTCAAGTACTGGGGAGCTAAACCATTTAATGCTTCGTACGTAATTAGTAAGATTTTAAAATGTATACAATGTCTAATAGGGAGCCAGTGCAGTGTTAACAGAACAGGGCTAATATGGTCATACTTCCTGGTTCTAGCTGCTGCGTTTTGGACCAGCTTAATTTTGTGAATTGGTATGTTTCATCAGGGCACGAAAAAAATATAGATTTGAGTATCATGAGTGTATCAGTGAAAACAAACGCCATGCTTCCTAATGATATCTCCCAAGGATAGCATACAGGGTGAAAAGAAACAGTCCTAGTACTGAGCCTTGCGGTACTCCATACTGATCTTGTGATCAGTATGACATCTCTTCATTCACTGCTACAAACTAATAACAGTCAGATAAGTATGATTTAAACCATGCTAATGCAATTCCACTAATGCCAACATAATTTGAGTCTATTCAAAAGAATGTTGTGGTCGATAGTATCAAATTCAGTACTAAAATCCAGTAACCCTAATAGAGAAATACAACCACAATCTGAAAAAGCAAATCATTTTTTAACTCTAATGATAGCAGTCTCAGTACGATGATACGGTCTAAATCCTGACTGGAAATCCTCGCAGATACCATTTCATTCTAAGAAGGAACAGTTGTGAGGATTAGTAGTGTTTTTGACAGAAAAGGGAGATTTGAGATCGGTCTGTAATTAACTAGTTCCCTAGGATCAAGTTGTGTTTTTTTAATAAAAGGGTTAATAACAGCCAGCTCAAAGGTTTTCAGTACATACCCTAATAACAATGATGAATTAATAATATTAAGACTTAGACTTAGACTTCTCTTTATTAATCCTTTTGGGATGACTCCCGCAAGGAAATTGAAAATTCCAGCAACAGTTTTAGCAAGGAGGAAAGAAAATGGTATAGTACAAAAAAAGAAGTGGATCTATCTATTTCAGAGCATAAGAGACTTCTTTCAGAAATATAAAACAATCTTATAACCTTATAATAACCCCAAACCTTTGAATGATAGTGTATTCATTTAGCAGACACTTTTTTTTTTTACAATAAAAAAAAAGCAATATAATAATACTTTTTGCTGTTTTCTTCATGTTCACAGTAACACCTCTGGATGTGGTGAAGATCAGACTGCAGGCACAAAATAATCCCTTTCCCAAAGGTATGCTTGAGCTGCTTTCTGTTCAAATGAAGTCAGATGTTAATGTGGTTGAAACCTCTTATTCATTTTTTGATGACTGGCAGGAAAATGTTTTGTGTACTGTAATGGCCTGATGGATCATATATGCGTCTGTGAGAATGGCAATTCAAAGGCATGGTACAAAGCCCCTGGTCGTTTCAACGGCACTTTGGTAAGCTAAACCATATAAAAATGTGAGTCCAGTTTCTCTTCACCATATGATACTGTTTAAATACATATTCAAATGCTCTGTTTGTTCTTATGTTCCAGGATGCCTTTATTAAGATTATACGTATGGAAGGAATCAGATCACTTTGGAGTGGCCTTCCTCCAACACTGTGAGTTTTCTATTACATTTCTGAAGATGTTTGCTGCTGTCTGAACCCAACTGACCTTTCCTTAACACGTGTAATGCAATGGTTTTCCTTTGCAGAATGATGGCGGTGCCTGCGACCGTGATCTATTTCACATGTTACGATCAGCTCTGTGCTGTTTTCAAGGTCAGGATGGGAGACCGATCGGATCTGGCACCACTGTTCGCCGGCGCAATTGCGAGAGGTAATGTTTAGCCCCACTGATTAAGTGTTTGACCTTTTCTCCACATGCTGACCTTCTAAATCAAAGTGCACCTGGCTTCATATGAGTTTTCTGAATGTGTCAGTGGGCTCGGCCACAGTAATCAGCCCCCTGGAGCTGATCCGCACAAAGATGCAGGCTGAGAAACAGTCGTACCGGGAGCTGAGTGCCGTGATCCGGTCAGCGTTGCACAGCGAGGGCTGGCGGTCTCTGTGGAGGGGCTGGGGAGCCACGCTGCTCCGAGACGTCCCCTTCTCAGGTGAGACACGCACAGCCTTCACGTTACAGGGTTCACATTTTGAAGCACTTGATTTGCAAACACAAAATACTAAAACTAATATAAAACTGATAGTTCTGACTGTAAATTCTGATGGATGTTTTCGAAACTGTTGTAAAATATCCAGTATGGGTCTTTTAGGTCAGTATGATTTTTGAAAATAAATAAATACTTTTATTCATCAAGGATGCATTAAATTGATCAAAAGTGACTGTAAAGACATTTATAATGTTACAAAAGATTTCTGTTATAAATAAATATAATAGAACTTTCTATTCATCAACTTTTGAACTTTCTATTCATACAAGAATACTGTTTTCCACATAAATATTTAGCGGCACAACTGTTTTCAACATTTATAATTATAGGAAACGTTTCTTGAGTACCAAATCAGCATATTAGAAGGATTTCTGAAGGATCATGTGACACTGAGCCAGTAATCCATTGATTACTGTTTTTACTATATTTTTGTTAGAATAAATGCAGCCTTTGTGAGTAAAAGATACTTTAAAAAAACATTAAAAAATCCTACTGACTCCAAACTGTTGAACGGTAGTGTACTACGGAATAGCAAATCATACCACTCTTTGAATGTGTCATGTTTGCTGCTATTTCCTAGTTGCTTATCTGACTTTCTGTGTTTCTCCTCAGCTATGTACTGGTTTAACTATGAGAAGGGTAAAGTATGGCTCTGTGAATACTACAGCTGTACAGATCCAACCTTTAGCATCACATTCACAGCTGGAGCGCTTTCTGGATCGGTGAGTCTGTGATTTACACCTGGATCATCAGAGCTCGCATGGGCCCCATTTACTGATGCTAACACGCAAAAAAAAAAAAAAAAATGTATCCAGGACGTATTTGGCCACTTCACATTTGTATTGTAAATGATAATGTGTCCTAATGTGTCAAGTACCTGTATTTTCTTGTTTTAGATTGCGTCTATCGTCACACTGCCATTTGATGTGGTCAAGACAAAACGACAGGTAGAACTGGGTGAAATGCAAACAAAGAAGTGTAAGTATGAAAATTCATGTCATTTTCCATCATTGGGATTTTCAACTTTCTGTTTACAGGTATATGGCATTAATGTGTAGTATTCTCTGTGTAGTGTCCACGCAAGTCTCCTCCAGCACATATAATGTGATGAAAAGGATAGTTGCTGAAAATGGAGTATCAGGACTATTTGCAGGTAAATATATTTATATAATACAGTTTCAATCGAAATTATTCAACCCCCATTGCAAATCAGGTTTATTTGAAAAATGTACAGACTTTCAGCTGTTTGCAATGAACAAATCAAACAAAAGTAATTGAAATAGCTCAACACAACAAATGTTTCAAGTGGTTTCCCCAAAATTAACTGAAAATGCAAATTTCAAAATTATTCAACCCTCTTAAAGGGTTTGTTCACCCAAAAATGAAAGTTCTGTCAGTAATTACTCACCCTCATGTTGTTCCAACCCTGTAAGACGTTCATCTTCGGAACACAAATTAAGATATTTTTGATTAAATCTGAGAGCTGGCTCACTCCTCCATAGGCTTCTATGTTATTGAAACTTGCAGGCCCAGAAAAGTTAGTAAAACCATTGTTAAATGGTCGGACCGTATAGTGTGAGCACATAAATCCTGAACTTTGGCTTTACATCGCATGCGATTCACTCGTTCAGTATGAGTAGGTACCTTGCTGAAATCGCACAGACATCGCACAGTGTATGCCTGCCTTAAGGCGCGTACTAAACGCATGCCAGATCTCCAAGACGTACACCACTACTGTACTGACCCAAAAGCACAAGAAAAGCTCAAAACCATATAAATAAGCCACAGAAGTTTTGGGATTCTGTTCTGTGGAGCAATGAAACAAAACCTGTTCCAAAACTGGAACTTTTCGGCCCTATGGATCTGCGGTATGTCTGGAGGAAGAAGAAAGAAGCATATACTGAAAACACTCTGTCTACAGTTAAGCATGTTGGGGGCTCGGTGATGCTCTGCGGCTGCTTTGCATCCTCTGGCACTGGAAACCTGCAGCGTGTGGAAGGCGAGATGATTTTTATTGAAGTATCAGGAAATCCTAGGAGAAAACGTCATGCCGTCAGTGAGGAAGCTGAAGCTTGGGCATCATTGGACCTTCCAACAGGACAATGATCCCAAGCATACCTCGAATTCCACCAAGGCTTGGTTGCAGAAGAAGTCCTGGAAGTCACCTGGTCACCTGGCTTGAACCCCATAGAAAATCTCTGGTGGGATTTGAAGAAGATGGTTGCAGCAAGCAAACCCAAGAATATTACTGAACTGGAGGCCATTGCTCATGAGGAACGGGCTCAGATTCCTCAGAAACGCTGCCAGAAGCTGGTGTCTGGTTATACATCTCGTTTGCAGCAGGTCATAATAGCAAAAGGGTGTTCTACAAAGTACGAAAGATGCTTGCCATTAAGGGGTTGAATAGTTTTGTGACTGCAGAAGTCATTAAAAGGTGCATTTTCAGTTGAATTTGGGAAAACCACTTGAAACATTTGTTGTGTTGAGCTATTTCAATTACTTTTGTTTGATTTGTTCATTGCAAACAGCTGAAAGTCTGTACATTTTTCCAATAAACCTGATTTGCAACAGGGGTTGAATAATTTCGATTGCAACTGTGTGAATACATTTGGAGGGGGGTCAGTAATTTTTTTTATGTTTTTGAAAGAAATTCCTCATGGTCATTGCTCACCAAGCCCGCATTTGATCAATAAATTCAGTACAATAGTAATATTGTTCTAGTATTGCTTCTATTTTAATACATTTAGAAATGTAATTTATGCCTGTGATGCAAAGCTGAATTTCCAGCATCATTACCTCAATCTTTAATGTCAATAAAATATTGAAATATGCTTATTTGGTACTCAAGAAACACTTCTTATCAATTTTGAAAACATTGTGCTGCTTAATATTTCTGCAGAAACCGTGATACAATTTTTTAATCAGGATTCTTTGATGAATAGAAAGTAAAAAAAAAAAAACACCATTTATTTGAAATATATATATATTTTTTTACATAAATGTCTTTACTGGCCATTTTGATCAGTTAATTTTATCCCATATATAGAACTATAAAGTAAAACTAAAACACACACACACATATATATTTATATATATATATATTGTGTGTGTGTGTGTGTTTAGTCTTACTATATGGTTCTGGATTGCTTTCAGTTGATTTTTGGTACCTTGATTTTCAAATCACCACTAGATGTCTCAGCAGTGCACTCTCTTTCATTCTCAGGTTTTATGCCAAGGCTGATTAAAGTGGCTCCGGCATGTGCTATTATGATCAGCTCATATGAGTTCGGAAAAGCTTTCTTCCGCAGATACAACCAGCAGAAACAGGGGGTGACCCAACTGCAGCCCAGCGCATGATCTCACACAGCAAACCACTGAATAAGAACAACACTTGATCACAGGCCAGATAAATTAACTACAGATTACTGCATGTTTTTCCTATCATGCATTAGTTCTTGCTGTCTGTCTAAAGCAGGGGTGTCCAGTCCTGCTTATGGAGGGCCACTGTTCTTCAGATCCTTTAAGCGCAGCTGATGACGCTTTGAAGTGACGCTCGAGTGATCAAGAATATTCCAATATACAAATAAGCTTTCCTTCATCCTCATTTTCTTTCTTTGCATCCTTCCCTCGCATCCTAAGCGGGGTGGAGCTGGAAAGCGAGGAAAGGAAACAAGGATGCACAAATTAGAAATGAGAAGAAATGTCTAAAGAAAAATCTAGTTCATAGATTTGCTGTGAAATACATTTTTACTTTCTCTATGGTATTTATTTATTGATTAAAGGTGATGAAACAAACCCTACCATACGTCTATCTCCTGTGAAGAACACCACATTTATTCCCATCAGTCATGTTTATAATTGTGATTGATTTTATTCTACCTGTTTTAAGTTTACTACTTTTAAGTTGTTTAAAACATCTTAGTAGTGTTTCAGCTATTTCTATGTGTGAATGGTGCCAAAAAAAAACCTGAAGCTGTTTGTTGTGTAAAGGCCATATTGACTGATGACACATAAATAACTGATTTTTAAATGTTAATATATTTCCTAACCCTATGCCTAAATAGTGACTTTTAACGGTTTTTTTAAACAATTGCCCTGTATGTAAATGAACACATTTTAAGTACTTCAATAATGATTGATTTAAAATCATGTTGTCCTGACTCTTGTTTTCTTTATTCAATCACATCCAGAATGTTGTTAGTAATGTTGCTTAAACTAGGAGCCCGTAAGATCTCATGCAGTCTGCAAAAATGTAGTTTATGTAATGCAAGTATGCTCATTTTCTGTAAGCACAAATGACTTACATTTTCCAAAGTCTGCAGTTTACAACTGAGTACACTGCTTGGCATACTGCATCCCACAATGCAATATGCCACACCTTCCATTTCCAGTGTAATGAAAACCAGAATTTCAGCAATCTCTTGTTTACATTCTGTTTTTACACAATATTGCAATTCATTTGTATTGGTAAAAGGAAATCAAACACAGAATTAAACATGAAATGTGATAATGTTAATAGCCAATGAGACGAAATCAGCATTCAGCCAAGCTTGTATTTACATTTAAATTTATTGAAAAAACATGATCATAGATGAGGACATAAAGTGAAATTTGACTGAACACATTGAGGCTAATAATGAATATATGATATTCATCTGTATGCCCTCATTCTCACTCCATTTATTTCTGTCACAGTAACACAAAATTAAAGAGAAAGAAAGATTAACTAACAAAAACAGATTTTAAAAAAAAGTTAAGCGGAACAAATACATTCAAAAATGTCTGTAAAGGTAACAATTCAGTGTTTCAAACAAGTGTTCATTTTTCAAACAAAACTGAAAAGTAACACTGAAGTACTGAAATGATGTATAATAACTTTAACTGCACATTTTAGATCAATCAGTGCTGTAAAAAAAAAAAAAAAAAAACACTTGATATGCACATTTAGGGGCCATTTACACCACACCGTTTTCAACTAAAAACGGAAAACTTTATTCATTTAAGCCATTAATTTAGTTGGAGTTTTGGGGGCCTGAAACCGCAACCTTTTTAAAGTGGGTTTCAAAGGGAACATTTACATGACAACGAAACTGTATTTTCTATACTAAATACAGAAAAGTTTTTCCTGTGCGTTTTTCGCATAGAGACGACAACTTTGTCAAACAATCCCCGTTCATAGGGATCCGTGAAAACTATTAAAGTAGTACATCTTTGTTGTATAAAATGTACTGGGCTTCTGAAAAAAGACTAGCTCTGAACAGTGTAAAACATGCATTTCACATGTAAAACGTATTTCTGTGGTACAGGCAGGCAGACGAGACATTCTTGAACACAATGAACATGAATGTTCAGCAAGGCAACATACAAGCCAACAACACTATTTCAAATGAGAGGCAACAAAGGGAATTCTGCATATGTGTTTCCCTGGAATTTCTGTTAGTAGTCCGCTGATGAGGAGTAATCATATATATTTCTTAATATATTCAATTATTTTCATACACAACTCATGGCTTGGCATGCCTCTGTTTTTTATTATCAAATCACACTAGTTAAACTAAATATTAATTATTTTTGTAATTATCAGCAGCAGTATTAGGAGTGGACCATTTAATTTGAACTTCAAACAACAATTAATTCTAAAACTAAACCATTTATAAAAGGGTTCAGACTGGGGCTGTCAATTAAAATTTATTAAAACCTAATGGAATACTGTATGTTCATTAACACATGCTAATTTAGTAACCAAACCACGTATATAGAAAAGCCTCCTAATGAAAAGAATTAAAAGACATTTTTGTGGCAGATGGGTAAAGCAACATCTTATTGAACATAACTGGCCTATTACCACAGCTCCATTAAGCAGTCGAGATTTGCAAAAACAAAGTGGCACTTTAAGCTTGAATTGCTCTGGAGGTAGGAAAATTACACCATTTACTTACAAATTTCCCATTAAATTTCCAACCCTACTTCTGACAATTACAAATTGAGTTACAAGATCTTCGCTGTAGGTTCTGAATACAATTTGTTCCAGTCTAATGTACATCATATTATTTATCATCCACATTATTCTTATTTAATATAAAAATGCATGGCAATGCTTTTCATCAGTGCACATTAGCCACTATCTATGAGTGATGGTGGGAAAAAGTGCAAAACTGGTGTTCGAGTGCTGTATGAATATGTAAAATCACAGAACTCATGAATATGGAAGACCTCTCCATGTAAGAGGACAGAGTGAATCTCAAACACTTCTGTTAAAATACAGAGACGGGAAAAAAAAAAAAGTATTAACATCCACATTAGGCACACCAGAGAAATGTCTGAAATCACATCCCTCTTGCACCCTTAAAAGACAAAAGATGGGAAGTGAACAAAGCAATATTTGTTGTTCACACTTCTCTGTCAATATTGGACAATTTTACATTTTTAGAGCTCCATCATCCAATTTTCTCTATTCTAATACAGAACACCCAGTTCTCACAATCCCAACAATTTCAAATGGATAAAATTGTCACATTCTAAATGCTTTTCTTAATGAATATCACAGCTATACATTTGTGTTAACATTTTTAAGGCTGTTTTAAGTTTAAGCTGATTGTTTTAGTTGACAATGCAATAAATAAAATAAAATAAAACAATGAAACATCATAAATTAGCCGTTGGCACAGACAACTGCAGTTTCCTAAATATCTGTGCTAGTATAGCTGTGATGTGCTATGATGTGTTAGGCTTTTTATAAACGGACTTTTCTCAGACTTTTCCAACTGTGCAGGGGTCAATGACCCTGTGTTAAGGACAAATTAAGAACAGGAGCAGGAAAAGCTTTGTCTATGGCCTTTGCAAAAACAGCAGTCATTTGAACTGGGTAGGTTGATTTTCCACAAATAGCTGAAATTCACTGATGTCCTGAGTCAAGATTGTCATTCATCGTGGTTCATTATGCTCAATATTCACTAATGCTTACACTAGCTATGGACTTCAACGACCAAATGTTCACATTTAAAAATGAAACTGCACTTCAAATTAAACTAAAACCAGTCAGGACAGCATTGGGGTAACTTCTTCTCCAATGTCTCTTAGAAGCTCTGAAGATGGTACAGATGGGTAGATTTTCATTTCTTCTACTTAATTTGAAGCCCACACCATCTCAAGCAGGACGGTGTGTTTGTGTGCGTGTAAGCCTGTGTGCCTGTATATGTCCATACTTGTCTCTGTGTTCAGGACGGGGTCAGTCCTGGGCTGGTCATGTCTGTTGTTGGACTGGCCAGATACTCACTGGACTTCAGACTGGCCAGAGATTTGTAACTGGCCACTGAGGTTAACGAACCACACAAACCCCTCAGAGATGGAGTATCCTCTTTCCCTGTGAAAACACATATACACACTGTAGTAGAGTGTGGAGACATTACTAATATCATTTCACAAGGCTCATGTTATCATGTTAGGCAAAAGGCAGAGCAGTAGACACAACATCTGAGCAACAGAGAGGAGCATTTGTAGGGAATGATTTTATACTATTTCTGCAGTACGCTTTCTGTGTGCTGTGCAGAGTTTGTGAATGTTATGTAGGCATGGAATATGTACGACCTACTACAATTGCTACTGTAAAATGTGAAGTATACCAACAAAGACACGCAAGTTGTTATTGTTAACTAACTGAAAACTATTCAAAATAATTCTGGGTATGTGAAATACAGCTGAAATAATAAAATAAAATAATTAGAAGGAGAAACTGGAAAATTAGAAATGCTAATTTCTAATTTTCGGCAACTAGCTGAAAAAAAGTTTAAGTGGAAGTACTAAAATTACTAAATAAATAGAAATATAAAAAAATAATTAAAGCACATAACAAAATAAATAAAACTTGAATTAGAGTAAAATTATAAGTTTAAATATAATAAACCTAAAATTTGGAACAGAACTTTGATTTTCTTGCAGTTTTAGTAAAACATGTTTTGTAAAATATATATTTGTTAATAAAAAAAAATATTACATTTTCATAAACTTGTAAAACAAATAATCTGCCATGTGTCTACCAAAGTCTGTACTCCAAAGTATTCAAGATTTATAACAATTTAAAGTGGAAATGTCCTTTTGGGGTCTATGTGAAATGTTTTAATCAAAAATAAATGTCACAATGCAAAAAAAAATAATTGTCCACAAATGTGTTTTATTTTCTTTGATCAGAATATAGTTTCCTTTTCCCCCCTTTTTTTCATGAGATTCTGACAAATATTGAGGAAGGGGTGCCGTTATCTTCCCTCAGGTGGTGTAAGGGCCCTTCCACTGAAAAATGACATCATCTTTAATAGAGCTGGTTATCAGAGAATGATGTCACCGTAGCTGACTCATAACACGCATCACAAACCTTCTCTGTGCCAGTGTGTGAGTCCTGCCTTGCTGTCCAGACTGTGAGGGTTCAGTTGTGCTGGATCGAGAGACATCTGAGAGAGACTCATATCTGCAGAAAGCTGCTCCAAACTCTGGAAGCTTTTCCTGTAGACACACTC